CTACGTTTAGAGAGCATATTGCGTTTATTAGTAGACTAATAGCAGCCGAGTCAGTTACGTTTTCTGTGTTGAAGAGAACTGAGATGTTCTGAGTGTTAATTTTTGTTAAATCGGTGTGTTGTTTTTAGTTGATTGTGATGGACAATGCCTAGAAATTGTGTAAATAGTGCCAACAGTTTTTGTTATGTGTGCGGAGAGCTAACTTTTAAATCCCAAAAACGTACTTTTACTCCCTTTGTGTTGAAAGCATACGAACTTTATATTGGAATTAAAGTTGGAGACGAAGATAAACTATGAGCCCCTCATATATGTTGAAAGACTTGTGTAACGTTGTCAACAGGTTGGTTGTGAATAAAATGCCCTTTGTGGTACCAATGGTTTGGAGAGAACCGAGAGACCACACTACTGATTGCTATTTTTGCCTCACAAATATTAAGGTATTGGACCAAAATCGAAACATATTGTTAAGTATTTTAATTTACCATCAGCTTTGCGGCCCGTTAAGCATAGTGATGGACTTTCTGTCCCAGTTTCACCAGAATCTTGGTCTTTGGATGAAAAAGTCGAATCCAACGATTCTGAAAGTGATGGTACAGAAAGCGTAAAAATTTTCGATCCGTCGTTTGACCTGCCAGGATGTTCAATAGCGCCGCATTTGATCACAGGGCGAACTTAATGACTTAGTTCAAGAATTAAATCTGTCAAGATCCCAGTCAGAACTTTTAGCGTTAAGATTAAAAGGATGGAATCTTCTCCACAGTGATGTTAACATTACTTTTGATCGAAAACGGCAACAAGACGTCACACACTGTTTCCGTCAAGAAAGGGAGTTGATATATTGCTCCGATGTCAACAATTTGTTTGACGCGTTAAGAAAGAAACATGATCCAAATGATTGGCGCCTGTTTATTGATTCCTTTAAGCTTAGTTTAAAAGCGGTATTGGTACACAAAGGTAATAAATATTCATCTGTACCTATAGCGCACGCAGTTCATATAAAGGAATCATATGGAAATCTGCGAGTTCGCTTAGAGCATATTCCTTATAATGAATATGGATGGACCATATGCGAAGATTTAAAGATAATAGCCCTTCTTCTTGGAATGCAACTGAGATATACCAAATATTGTTATTTTCTTTGTGAATGAGACAGTCGTGCGCGAGATCGTCATTATGAACAGAAGGAAAAACATTGCTAATGAACCGCTAGTTGATCCCAAAAATGTGTTGCTTCCACCTTTGCATATTAAATTGGGACTGATGAAAAATTCTGCATTTAAAACAATCATTTCCGAGACTTGGTGAAGCATGAAGGATGATGTATTTGTAGCTTGTAGCTTGGAATGCTTTTAAATCAGTTACTGCAAATTTTTTAGGCAATGTGAAGGCGGACAATTATAAAGATATTGTGAGTAAACTAACTAATGCTTATAAGGGAATCGGATGTAACGTGTTTCTAAAAATTCGCTTTTTGAATTCTCATCTCGATTTTTTTCCGGAAAATTTAGATGCGGTAAGTGATGGGCGTGGTGAACGGTTCCACCAAGACATTTCTGCTATGGAAAAACGGTATCAAGGCAAATGAAGTGTCAATTTGCTTGCTGATTATTGCTGGACATTCTTAAGAGATACTTCAGGAGCAACATATCGCCGGAATACATCGACAACAACATTCTGAGATTAATGTTTTTTCAAGTGTTTATTAGTACTCTTACACACATATCCTTATATAAGCAGCAAATAAAATGCTATTTCCGGCTTTTTGGGCACGTTTTACATAATAACCACCTTGTTTTGACCATGTCACAAAAAATTAATTTAATTTTGTTCACCAGTGTAATTTGCCATAATTACACAAAATGACTGAGGTCACGAAAATTTAGACATTTTCCATAATGGCAGAAGAGAAAAGGTGCGTACCATCAGATTGAAAATAACAGAAACTGATCTAGCACGAGCGCGAAAGCAATCTTTAACCATGATACTAGGAATATTGTCCACTCCGGAGGTCATCTTATTTATCCCTTAAGGATATGTTTGATTTACGTCTCTGCGTACACAGCGTGGTTCTATGTTTTTAGCTATAATCACTACAGTATAGGTCTCGTCATTGATGAAGGAAAGCAAACAACTGAATATGGATCTACGGAAGAACTACTGTAGTGTACGAATAGTAAAACTGACACTGCGGCTTGCGAGGGTCATTTTTTAGTTAAAAACCGTTTTCTAATGGTGTCAATTTATTTATGCACGTAAATTGTATCACAAACTTAAATAAGAGCAGTTTTCTATTTTCCTACATCGTCACCATAAACATTTAAACATTTGGCAGCAGCCGTTAGATCCCGTCGTGAAAAAACGGTATCGCCTGGCCGTTAAGCCAGTTATTAACTGTTTCTTTCAGCATGTCATAATTTTCCAAGCGTTTTCCTCCAAGAAATTCCTCAAGTTTTGGAAAAAGATGAAAGGCTGATGGTGCTAAGGTAGAGCCATATGTGGATGATCCAGTAATCCCGAATGAAAATTGATCAGTTAGGTGTTGTTGTCGTAACGTGAGACCGAGAGTTGCCGTGAAGCTTCTGGTGATTTTCCGCAGAAGCAACCTTTTTGCGTTTAAAACCCAAACTACTGCTTGCAGTTCACTATGCTTCCTTGCACTATTTTGGCATATCGCCGGGATATTTTTTTACATTGAAGCAGCCGCGCAGGCAGAAGCCTGAATGCTAGAACACCGCGGCTGCTACGAAGAGCTTGAAAAAACTTTGTTAATCCGATTTTTGATCTGATCCAGGTTAGCAGAGCTCGGAAAAGCCTCCTCATGTAGATTGTTAAGGGGCGTTGACATTATGCTTATTGACTGGTACTAGTTGGTCCATGCCAGTCGACAAGTACAATGTAAACACTGGCTAGCGCCAGTCTCGTGCTTATTTTACTAGCGCTAGCAAAGTTAAAATCATTTGTACTTTTGTGTACCAGTTAAAGAAATAAAAATGGCGCCTATGCATAAATGGAGTGAAAATGAAACGTTAAAATTTGTGAGTTTATATAAAGAATGTGAAATACTGTGGAATGTTCACGATGCAAATTATAAAAACAGAGAAAAGCGAAACAAAGCATTTGAATGCATACAGCAGGAAATGAACATGAAAAACTTGACTCCTGATATGATAAAGAAGAAAATTAAAGCGATCAAAGATACCTATAACTTGGAGAAAAATAAAATAACAAAGTATAACAAATCTGGGGCATCACCAGATGACTTATACACGCCAAAACTTGTTCGGTTTAATGAAGCCGCTACATTCCTTGAGTACTGCGCTGGTAGAGAACCTTCTAGTAGTCTGGTAAGGATTTCAGCAAAATTATTTGGGTAATGACCAATTACATACTTTTCAAAACAAATACTCATTTGATTTTTTATTCTTTATTATTCTTTAGCAAAATCCAGTAGTGAAGAAAGAAGCATACCAAGTGTTAAAAGGAAGAAACAAAAAGATGTTCCAGATCATATTTCAAGCGCAATGGAAAAACTGGAGGATCTCAAAAAGGTTTTCCGGAAAAAGATGAATTTGACTATTTTGGCATGAATATAGCACACCAATTAAGAAATTTGTCTATTCAACGAGCTCTAAAATGCCAGACAGAATTCCAGCAAATATTAATGAGAGAGCGACTCGAGTATGAAAGGGAAAAATCTTCGTCTTCGCGGTCTTCACATTCCACCTGTTTTAGTCCAGTTGAAAGGGCTTTACAATCGCCGATAAATGCAGAACAAATTCAACAAGATGGCTACAGCAACAGCTCACTAAGGTGTTACAATTCACCACAACAATCAGATTATAATGATTTGGAAGGAGATAGCGAAGTTCAAAATACTGATATTTTGTCTGCAGCAATTGGCTTCCAAAACACAGTACTGTACTTTGACGAACAAAAAGCGTCCTAGCGCTCATACAGTTTCGATGGACGGTCAAGTTCTACCAAAGAGCCATTCATTTCGGCTGGTCGGAGTCCAGATCACCGAGGACCTGATCTGGCACGAACACATCTCTTCAATAGCTGCAGCTGCTGGGAAAAAGCTAGGCTATTTGTTTAGAGCTAAGAAGTACTTTTCTCCGCATGACCTTCTCACTCTATACAAGGACCAGATAAGGCCTAGCCTCGAGTATTGCTCACACATTTGGGGTGCTGCCGCCCCGACTACATTGTCCATGCTCGATGCTGTCCAGAGGAGGGCGGTCCGACTGATCGATGACTCTTCTCTAACAGACAGTCTCGGGACTCTTTCGCACCGGCGGGCCGTCGGCGATCTAGCTCTTTTCTATCGCTACACCAACGGGCTTTGCTCCTCAGAGCTCTCTTCCATGATGCCGCCGCGCGATGTGCCTGCCAGACAGACCCGCCTGACTTCGGCGTCCCATCCTAACCGTGTCAAACTTTGTACATCCAGAACTGGCCGATACGACCGCTCCTTTGTCCCGAGGGTGTCGAGATTGTGGAACAATCTACGGGAGGAAGCTTTTCCCAGTTCTACTAACCTTAGGCAGTTCAAAAATCGTATTAACAAAATTTCTTTGGGATCATCATAGCAGCCGCGGTGTTCCGGCATTTAGGCTTCTGCCTGCGCGGCTGTTTCGATATAAAAAAAAAAAGCCAGAGTTCTAAATTGATATAACGAATCTTTGACTAACATTTTCCTCTGCATGTTAGACAAACAAAGGAAAACGGTTTTGTTCATTTTTATTTGTTGTTATTTATTGTAAGTACTAAGTAATACATAATTATGTTTTCAAAATATGTATGAACACTAATTCAATAAACTTTTGATTACCTCATTGAATAACTTTATTATTTCAAGATTATTATGTTTATGTACAACTTTCTCCTGTCGAAAATTTAACATCACTAATCACAATAATTTTAATTCATAAAATATTCCGCATAGTTGTCTCGTCGGGTAGCTGCTCCTTTAGAATAATTGTGGGAGCCCCAAGAATGACCTGGCTGAAGCACTTGATTATTTGCTACGTCTTTCCTCCATGATCCAGGTATTATATTACCAGTATCAATATCTTCGTAATCGGTTGTTCCTGGTGGTATGTAAGTATTTGCTGATGTTCTTCGTAACCAGTTATGTAAAGCACATGTTGTTCTTACTATATAATCTACCTTATCCGGGGATACTTCTATACCACGTAAAAATATTCTAAATCTAGATACAAGAATCCCAAAAGCATTTTCGAATATTCGTCGAGCTCTCGAAAGACGATAGTTAAATATTTTTTCTTTTTGGGTCATTCCATTCCTTGAATACGGCTTCATTAAGTAGGTTTTCAGAGGGAACGCGTCATCTCCGCCAAAAACTCCCCAACCTGGGAAACGCAATGTATTACTTTCCAGTGCGGTTTTCAAACGTGATGCCTCGAAAATGCTAGCACCATTCATTCTTCCGTTGGAACCGACATCGATGTATAAGAATTCATAATTACTATCAACCATAGCAAACAGAACTGTACTAAAGTACCCCTTATAATTATAAAAATAGCTTCCACTATTTGCAGGGCACTTTATACGTATATGTTTTCCATCTATTGCCCCGCAACATCCTGGAAAGTTGCACCATGAATGAAATCTATCAGCAATTACTTTCCATTTTTCTTCAGAGTCCGCAATCTTTATGTAATCTTGTAGCACAGCATATACGTTTCGGATGCGTATAGATCTGTATCAGGATCGCGAAAACGGCAAGAGGTGTCGATGCCATGGATTTGATATTCGTGTCGTATTGCGTTAAGAATGTCTACTAGAAATTTTGAAATTGTACTTTTTGGAACCCTGTACATATGTTCTAGTGTGCTAAAAGAGTCTCCAGATGCTACGTAGCGTAATGTAATTTGAAGTTTCAGTTCCGGAGTCAACGCTTCCCTGAACGAAGTATCTTGTCTTCGTATAATCGGAGTGACGCATTGTAATAAAAATGAAAATTGATCTGGAGTCAGCCGTAAATGATTCGTGAATGTTTGGGGATCAGAAAATTTTACTTCCTTTAATAGGTTTTCACTGACACCAAAACGTTTTCGTTGTACAATCCATTCTCGCGTCCACCACCTTCTTTGTCGACGATTTCTTTTATGTGCTATACTTCTTAATTCCCCTTGTAACATTGTAGCCACTATTTCAATGCCTTTTGCTAATACTTCGCTCATTTTCACGAATTGACAGCCATGCCAAACCATCAAACTAAAATGTAATTATTTTACTAGCACAACTGCACAACATAGCACATACTAGTATGAAAACAGGACAAGCAGTACCAGCGAACTAGCGCTAGTTTGATAGTACCAGCCAACAAGCATAATAATAATAATAATAATAATAATAACGTCTTTATTGGATAACCCGGAGGGACATAAACAGCGAAGTTTAGCCAAGGCTACTCTTACACTTAACTGTTTATGTCGGTTACATCTGATGTTCAAAACATGGAAAAAAAATATATATATATATATAAGAACAATGAAAAAAAGAACACATATATACCTAAGTATAAAATACAAATAGACACAATCTATATCTGTAGCAGAAATGCGTATTTAATCAATAGCGAGCAACATGCTTTTAGTATGTTTACGAAAACTTTCCAAAGACATCAATTTAATACTGTTGTCCAACTGATTATAAAATAGTGCTGCATTATATGTAAATCCTCGTTGGAATAATGCAGAAGTGTGTGGGGTGGTTCTGATACTATAACGATTCCTAACAGCCCTGTCATGCACTTCGTAATTAAATCTTAACTTAGCTCTTAGATATTCAGGCTTTGACGACAATATTATTTTATGAACTAAAACTAAGAATTTATGTTTAACCAAACTTCCTAACCTAAGCCAGTTCAATTACCTATATTTATCACTTACGTGATCGTATTTACGCAACCCATAAATAAAGCGAACACAGTTATTTTGGATGATTTGAAGACGATTTTTGGTCAATTGATCCAAACATGGATAATAAACGACATCACAGTAACTGAGCATTGACATCACCAAAGATTCGCACAGTTTTTTTCTCAGCTTAAAGTTAAGCAAGTAGCGATTGGAATAAAGAGCCCTAGAACACAGGTAAGTTTTTTTCATCAAATTAGCTATTTGGCTGCGGAATCTTAATTTTGTGTCAATTTCCACTCCTAGTACCTTAGCTGTTTGAGTATGCTGTAATATTATGCCACCAATAGTCAGATGGAAAGAATCTTAGACAGTTTTCCTCTTCTGATCAGAACAAAACAATAACACTTGTGTCTTATCTGGATTAATAGTAAGATTATGTTCCATAGAAAACTGATGTACCTTATCTAAATCAAGCTGTAAAATGTCTGATGAATTTTGCGTATCTGAGGCGTCGAAATGGAATATTATTTGAGTATCGTCAGCAAATGTTTGTATCCCTGAATTGTCAACTGCTTTATGCAGGTCACACGTGTAAATCAAAAAGAGCACAGGTCCCAAAAGTGGGCCTTGCGGAACTCCTGACGGAATAGTCGTAATATTGGATTGACCGTTATTGATTGCGACACATTGCGTGCGACCGGACAAATAGCTACGGAAAAAACTGACAGCAGCATCATCGAAGCCTATATACCTCAGCTTGGCGCACAAAAGTTTATGATTTATTCGATCGAATGCTTTGGAATAGTCAATTGATACCACTGCTGTTGCTAACTTTTTGTCAACTGCCCTAATAACATTATCACAAAGATCTAACAGTGCCGAGGTGGTACTATGGTGCTTCCTGAAGCCCGATTGACATGACGATATTATTTTTAGTTCCTCTATGTAATGGACAACTTGTTGCTGTATAATTTTTTCCAAAATTTTCGATAGCACCGGCAACAAACTAATGGGTCTAAGATGCTTAAGTTCAGTAGGTTTAGATATTTTAGGGACAGGTATAATTAGAGCCAGCTTCCACAGCTTAGGGTGGTAGCCATTTTCCAAACATGAATTTATTATGTGGGTGATATGGAAAAAAGTTACGGGAAGACTTACTTTGACCATGGTTAGTGAGAGGGTGTCAATTCCTTTTGCATCTGATTTGATATCTTTGATTGCCTTCAATATTTCCACCGGCTCGACAACTCGCAAAGAAAAACGATTTCGATTGTCCAATTTGTTGCTGTCATAAAACCGACATACATTTTCTGAGACACTGTCGTAACTATAAACTGACATAAAATAATTGTTAATACTATTTGCATCGGCTAGCTCATCTGGTATTGTTTGTTTTGAACGAGATTTTATGTTAAGCCTATTCAGCCCAGACCATAAAGTTTTTAGATTATTTTGATCAGTTAGATTCTGAATATACTCTTTCTTTTTCATTCGAATTTTATGTAGTGCCTTATTCCTCAGCTGTTTGAATTTATCAAGGTCTTCAAGTGATTTACTAGCTTTATATTTGGTAAAAGCTGAATCTTTTTCTTTGATAAGCTTTTTCATTCCCTCATCCAACCAAGGAGATGGCGGTTTATTAACACGTAGTGTCTTAATCGGAGCATGTTTGTTATAAATATTTGTGAGGGTTGTCGTCAGATGTTCCACTTTAGCATCTATGTTATTCATAAAATATAAGTCATCAAGATTAGAGGTACACAGATCTGAAATGAAAGCTGCCTCATCAAACTCACGGAAGTCTCTCACGCATATGAATTTTTGATGCATCTTGCCAGCACTAAGTTTCAGAGTACACATAACAAGCTTATGGTCAGATATTTCATGAGCATCAAGTACCAAACAGCCAGTGACAAGTTTCGGCTGATTAGTGAAAAATGGATCAAGCAATGAAGCGGTGTCGTTTGTCACCCGTGTAGGAGATGTAACTAACTGTGAAAAGCCAGTTACCTCAAAACTCGAGGATATGATATTAGTTGAATTCAGAAAATCGTGATTCAAATCACCCAAAACAATAACATTGTCAAAATCATTAACGATGACGGGTAGCAAATTATCTAAGACATTAGCACAGTCCAAAAGACTTTGCGACGGCGGACGATACAAAACGCCAACCGCGAATTTATGTTTATCTACATTCACTTGCACAAAAAGAGTCTCTAAACATACAACACGAATATCAACATTAATAACTTTTGCATTCAAATGCGATTTAATATAAATGCCAACACCACCGCCTCGTGAGGCTCGATCACAACGGAAAAAATTGTATCCATCGACACGTACAATGTTATCAGGGATGTCGCTAGAGAGCCATGTCTCACTTACTGCTAAGAAATCAAAATTCTCAGTTTTCAGTATAGTTGTGAAAGCATCAAAATCTGATAAAAGAGACCGTATGTTTAAATGTCCAATTCTTAACTCTTTAATCTTCATAATTAACCCTATCCCTAAGATTAATAAATAATGTCAACGCCCCTTTAGGGACAAAAGAACGGTCGTATCGACCAGTTCTGGATGTACGAAGTTGGATACGGTTAAGGTGGGTCTGTCTGGCAGGCACATCGTGTGGAGGCATAATGGGAGAGAGTTTTGGGGAGCAAATCCCGTTGGAGTAGCGATGGAAGAGAGCTAGATCGCGGTCCCGAGACTGTCCGTTAGAGAAGAGTCATCGATCAGTCATCCCTCCTCTGCAGAGCATCAAACATGGATAATGTAGTCGGTGCGGCAGCACCTCAAACATGTAAGCAGTACTTGAGGCTAGGTTTTATCTGGACCTTGTAGATCACTATCTAGGAGGTTATGCGAAGAAAGGTGCTTCTTAGCAATAAGGTTATGACGGCCGAGATATAGTTGCCATAGCTATAGCCATATATTGCACCACAAATATTGCCATTTTACAGGCTTCTTTATCGGGTTTTGATAGTAAATTGCATTTATAATTACAGGCCTGTTGAAGTTTGACGTAAATAAGTATTATGGGATTCAAGCCTAACAATTTTTAACTAAGCAGAACTCAACTCGGTAGGCTCTTCTAAACAGGGATGATAAATGGAAATCACAAATCCCATGTACTGTGCGCGTGTTTCTTTCTTCGAGAAGAATCTGTTTGGTGAACCTTGTACGTGTTAGATGAGCTTATGAATCTAGAATATATTATGAATTCGATGTTGTTATATTATCTAATCCTATTGTCATACAAAGATTGCTCATCCATCTGGTATATAAATATGAATGAA